ATTATTACGCATATACTTACAGCTTTTTCGATAACATTTCTTACACAGTTTGTAAAACAACGGCTATCTACTCCTTGGTTCAGTGTCTTCTAACGTCTTTACTTTTGACCACCTGTTCACTCATCGTTCAGACGTCTTCAACAATTTGGCAATTTCTTTGACTAAATGCCCAGAATACCGTAAAAATAGATGCCTGAGCAGTAGCACAAACAGTGTACGCCTTCATTTTCGCGAAAGAGTAGAGACAATAAAAGAAAACGGCAAAAATACGAAAACAGAGAACCTACAAAATGGACAGGAAAAATATTGCGGGGAAAAAACTCGCGTACGGGCACATTTTGAGCAAAAATTAAAAAATGTCATATTTTCTTCAAATTTTAGTTTGAAATTGCTTTGAACAGTTATTTAAAAAAAATTTCGTACCTGAATCAGTTTACATTTGCCAAAAGAAGCATTGAATGCTTTGCGAAAAGTACAATTTACCATCGGAACGAACTTTTGAAACACCCTGTAAATGCGGTTTCAAAAATGTCCGGATTTGTGTGGACGGGCCTTTTCATGATAGTAGGGACTTTAAGATCGAACGACGCGACCGCAACGAGAACGTCGCTTAAAAACTGAATTTGAGTTCTTTCAGTCTTTATCGCGGTTATTCCTATACCCACTTACAACAATAACAACAACAACATAAGCTTTATTTGCATGACTATAATTATGTAGTTACAGTATTGTAAAAGCTTTAACATCAAAAAAAAAAACAAAACAAACAAACAAACAAATCATAACAATGATAATGAAATGCAATGATTACTATAGACAATCAAGTGTCATGAGCATGATTTGATAACAAATTATTACGTAAATCATTACATAATGAGACAAATTTCAAGAAATGTGAATTTACGGAAAAATTCTGTGAATTCATTAATTTAATTATTAATTCTGTGTAAGATAGCTGATTAAAGTCGACAAAATTTTGTTGGATTTGATTGTAGAATTTCTCCCTTGGGATTGAGTATTTTGGACAATGGAAGAGAAAATGAAATTCGTCTTCAATTATACCAGAGTTACAAATAGGACAGAATCTATCGTTGCGGGAAGTTTGATTATATCTTCCAGTTTCAATCATGAGTTTGTGGTTACTTTGTCAAATGTAAGCGAACCCTCCTCAATTTGAATTCCAAGGGACCATATCCAAGCTCAGGGAGAGAAATAAAATTTCGTCGTTACTTGTTTAAGTTCTCCATAAAACGTGAAATTAGTCATCTTCACGTCGTAGTCGTGCTAAAACAGCAAAAAAATGTACAAAAATTTGTGATGCACGTGCAAAGTTATTGTTTTGCTTATTAAACCTATTTTTTTTTTCTACCTTCTCGTTGCGGTCACGTCGTTGGATCTTAAAGTCCCCAGTGTCAATCTACAAATACGACCAGAATCATTTCGTTTTTTTTTTTTTAATGAATTCTTTCACATTTAATTCGGTAAATTCAGAAGCCTTAGTTTATATGAGAAAGCCAAATTCTGAGGGATTCGAAAAAAGGCCGTTTGCGCGATGACGTCATTTTACAATACAAGATTCCTTCAGGGTTTTGCTTTCTTCTTCAAGTTAGGGCTTTTGTTATTTAAACCTCAGTGGAATTACCAAATTTAAATATGAGAGAAAAGATGAAATGAATTCCTTTACTAGCAAAAACAAGTCATCGCGTAAAGAGCCAATTAGACCCCGTGGCCCCAGTAGCCTTGCAGCAGTACTGTTCAGAAGATATCCCTATGGGTCGCAGTGCTTTTGCTTTCGGGCTAGGTTCCAAACTTTGTTAGTTCATATCGTTTTCCCTAGGCTACGAGTAGTCCCCCATTTTTTCTCAGGGATAGTAGAGCGAGCGAAACGCGAGCGCGCGTGAAAATCACCCCACGCAAGAAAGGAGACACGGGGCGGGGAGAGACAAGAAAAAAATAGTGGGTTCGGCTAGAGCCCTTTTTCGATGGTAAGGTCACCTTCCTAGCTAAGTCAACTTTTCCCCAAGTAAACACTTGGCTTGACCAGCCGGCTCAACTCGGTTAAAGCGAGCCAGAGGATGCGAGAGCGCTGTTTTCAGCCAGGGCAAAAGGGTCAACTGATTCTCATGTAAACACTTGCTTAAGTTGACTCCGGTTGGGAGGGTGACCCCGAGAAACGTTTTCTATATATAAACGGGGACTCATTCGCATGTTTTCTTGATATAGGTTCAATAAAGAAAAACCATAACTCTGCACGTGCATCACACGGTTTTGTAAATTTATTCGTCGTCACTACGTTATATAGCCGGACATAAGTACCCGAAAACAAATGTATTTTTCTCTATTTACACTTTGATGTCAGTGCTACCTAAATTAACCGACTTAGCCAATTAAGATAACTCCCGCAAATACGCCAAATAGCTTTATAAATGACGTTTCGCTACCGTCGCCTCCCTAATGTCGGGCGTATTAAATCTCGAGCAACTGACGTTCAGTCAGAGTCAATCTCTGTATTTTGAACGCCATACGTTAGAAGTTAGGTCTCACGTTAGGTTGTCTGCTTTGGACTAGAAAAGGTACCAGGACGATCGAGAAACGTACCCCACGTGGTTTTGAACCCGGCGGGCTAAAATTGACTGGAGACCTCAGAGACGAAAATACCGGTCACCTGGAGCGAAAGGCGACGGGGAGAAGAGATAGGCTGGGAACGAGATTGATTTACGTACGGTTTGATGTTCCTGTATAATAATAACCTCCGATCATACTCTCCCTAAAAAAACGTAAAACGCCTGTTTAAAAAAAGACGATGAAACATGAGAAACTATAGCTTTACACTATTTCCTTGTTTCTGTTTTCGTCTTTTGTGGCTACGATTTGTATTTTTGGGTTCTGTTTCAGTTTTGCGGTTTAATTTTGTATTTTTTTGAGTGTGTTTCCTCTTGGGGATGCTTATTTCCGTTTTGGGATTTGTGTTTCTGTTTTCTGGTAGTGTTTTTCCGTTTTGGGTTTCCGTTTTGTCTTATGTCTTTCTGTTTTGGGTTTGTTCTCTGCTATTTTTGTTGCTGTTGTTGTTGTCTTGTGGTTTTTTTGTTTCTATCAGCCACCCTATATATTTGACAGTCCTCTGCATTTAAATCCAACCACTGGAGAACACTTCAAAACTCCGTTGAAAATTTCTTCACAGAGATCAAATCGCCCAGGTAAGAAATAATCTCCTTTAACTTGGAATTTGTCTAATCAGATATTTCTGCAAGGTTTATTTTGATTTCCTGCTGTAGTTTTTTTCCCTCTCTTTTTTATTTAAAAATAATTAATAATAAGTTTAGACCGGTTTGCGACCGCGAAGCAAAGTATGTTTGTTCCTTGTTAAACAAAACGTCCGACTAGAATATTGTTTTGACCGATTCGTGTTTCTCTCCCTTCGTTGTCTCCTTTTCCGCTACTCTCTTCCACTTCCTTTCCACCCCTCCCCCGCCTCCAACCCCCCCACCCCTACCCCTCCTCACACAAGCAACGCCGGATATTCAGGATAATTTGTGTTAAATGTGGATCTCTCATGTTGTAGACGTCACAGATTTATAATAATTTTCATTTTTATTACAATTGCTAACGAAGAAAGACCTGCTTTGTGCATACATTTGTGAAACTAAGTCTTGCATCGATTAATCAGAAATTGAGGTCACGAACTTTTTTAGTCAAGACATCTTTCCTCAAACAGCTGCCTTTTAAATTGGGACTATTTGAATTGTACTGCCAGAAAGGTTTTCAGGAAAATTACTATTTATAAATAAAATCGCCTTTATTGCTGCTCTAAGTAAAGCAAACAATTTAAAATTTGTTGTGGTTTGCTAGTTTGTGGTCTTTCTGAAATTTGCATGTAATGTTATTGTCGCCAGGCAGCGGACTCATTTTTTGAACTTTGACTTATTATTATAAAAACACAAAACAATAAAAAACGTAAGAACGATCAATTAAAACACGCGACGAATAAACGCTCATAATAAAACCCGACCCGAGATACCGTTTTAAAAACTTAATTGAAAACCAATGACAAAAAGAGTCAAATACAGAGCGATTTGAAAGGAATGAAAAATTAATCCTCTTCTTCGTTCTCCTCTTTAGAGGGTGAATAAAAATTGGTTTCTAACGTCTTCGCTTTTTTGTGTGTAATTGTTCCACAATTGTGACACCGAAGAAAGCCCTCTTTGATGTAATTTCTCTCCTACGGGATCTGGTAATCGCATATCGGACAAATCTTGTAGTAATCGTGCCAAAAGGATTTAGGACATTTCACGATCAATGTTTCGTACACTTTAGAATTCTCGCAATGTTCACAGGGATTTTCAGAGTGAAAGGTGGCGGACATTTCAAGGCTACTACTTTATGTTTCCTGACTGTGGTCGTTTTCAGTGTCGTTGTAGCTCTCATGGGAGTCATCTTCAACACCATTCTCAGAGGCCACTTCCTCCTCCTCCTCATCCTTCCCCTCCTAATTTTAAATATCCAATGAAACCTTTTCATTATCACTTTCATTATCGGAAGTATTTTCTGCGTTTCGCAAGCCTTTTTCTTTTTCTATTAAATCGCTTAGCAACTTTTTGTTCTTGATTAAACCTTTATCGATACCTGCGCACGAGGCTTGGTAACGTCATCATTGTGTGGGGGTAGCACATACTCAACAAGCTCGGCGATGTTTGTGACAGGAATTATATGTTTATTTCGAAGTAATTGTCCGCGGGGAGTCCAGGAATATTGTCTTATAACACCAATATTCGGAAATTGTCAAAAAATTCCGGAGAAGCGTCAGTTGGAGTAAATCTAGAGAGGAAGGAGTCACTGTGAAAAATTCTGTCATGTCTTATCTGTCTAATGGTAACATACAGTGTATTCTAACACTTCAAATGTATTAATGAAAATTATTTTTGTTTTTACTCCACCTCAACGCTCCTCAAAGAGATCTTACTGTCAAGAAACAGTTCCACCTTGAATATTAAAACTTGGAAATGGCAGAAAGAATACTACAAGATATAGCTGAACAAAAAAAGCGTCTTGAAATAGCGCAAATCAATAAAAACACCGAAGAGAAAGCACATGCCTACCACAATCTAGCCAGCGCTTATTACTTCCTCAAAGACTTCCATCGAGCAATAGAGTACCTCAAGCAATACCTGAGCATTGCTGAGGAAGTCGGTGATAGAGAAAGTGCAGGATGTGCCTATAACAAGCTCGGCTATGCTTATAGATCCCTGGGTGACTACCAAAGAGCAATAGAGTACCACAATCAAGACCTCAGGATTTCTAAAGAAGTTGGTGACAGGGCAGGTGAAGGACGTGCCTATGGCAATCTCGGCTGGAATTATGGCTCCCTCTGTGAATTCCAACAAGCAATAGAGTGCCACAATCAACACCTCATCATTGCCAAGGAAGTTGGTAACAAGGCATGTGAAGGCGAAGCCTATTGCCAACTCGGCCATATTTATATTCATCTCGACGAATACCAACGAGCAATAGAGTACACCAATAAAGGCCTCATCATCGCCAAGCAAGTTGGTTACAGGAAAACGCAATTGCTAGGCTATCGCAATCTCCGCAGGATTCATTTACGTTTCGGCGAATACCAACGAGCAATAGAGGACGCAAATAAATGCATCATCCTTTGCAAGGAAGTTGGTGACAGGGCAGGGCAAGGGCACCACTATGGCGATCTCGGCACTATTTATTTACATCTCGGCGAAAACCAACGAGCAATAGAGTACATCAATAAACACCTCAACATTGCCAAGGAAGTTGGTGACAGGGCAGTGGAAGGCGAAGCCTATTGCAATCTCGGCTCTCTTTATCACCACCTTGAAGACTTCCAAAGAGCAATGGAGTGCATGAAGAAACACCTGAGCATTGCCAAGGAAGTCGGTGAGAGAAGATGCCAAGGACATGCCTATTTATGCATCGGCGAAATTCATTATTCCCTCGGCGACGTGGCAGGAGCAATGGAGTACTACAAGCAATGCATGAGCAATGCAGAAGAAATCGGTGACAGGGGTGGACAAGGAAATGCCTATTGCCGCCTCGGAATGTGTTATATAGATCTCCACGACCTGAAGGAAGCAACAGAGTGTTACAAGCAACACCTGAGCATTGCCGAGGAAATGGGTAACAGGATGGCAGAAGCATGTGCCCATATCGGTCTGGGTATCTCTTGTTTGTGTTCAGATTCTTTGAATGAGGCTTTAGGACATTTTAGATGCTGTGTTAAAATCTATGACACTATTAGAGCTAATTCTATCTCGGAAGATCAATTGAAAATAAGTTTTCGTACGAATTGTGAAGCTGCCTATACTTATTTATGGCAGGTTTTAGTAATGCTTGATAGGAATGATGAGGCTTTATACGCTGCTGAGAGGGGACGGGCACAGGCTTTGCTCGATGCCTTAAAAGTAACTTATGGCCTTACATCACTTTCGTCCTGGTCTATTGAATCTGAAGAAGAAGTCAGAAATATTTCAAGGAAGACAACTGTTTTAACAGTTTTTGTTGCCCTGGAATTGAAAACAGCCAATATATGGGTGTTGGGAAAAAAGGGCAACCCTATCTTTAGGCAAGCGGAGATAGACATTGGTCGTGAACACGAAGATTCCTTTACTTTCCTTTTGGACTTTGTTTTGGAATGCATTGGGGCTGGCAGAGGTATCAGGTGCGAAAATCGGTCAATGGATAAGATGAGTGATGACCAAACTTCAACTACTCGAGACGATGATCAAACATCGGAGCCAATACAGGGGACCGCCGACCTTTTACAGCCATTATATGATGTAGCTCTTGGTCCCATTGAAGACTTGCTTGATGGTGATGAACTAATTGTAGTTCCTGACGGCGCTTTGTCTAAAGTTCCTTGGGCAGCCCTGAGTGAAACTTTAAGGATCCGCACTGTTCCCTCACTGACAAGTTTGAAAGTCATCACAGATTCTCCAATTGAATACCACAGTAAAAGTGGAGCCCTGCTTGTTGGAGATCCATGCTTGAAGAAAATTACAAATAAACGGGGGAACCCCATCTATGATCCTCTGAACTACGCAAGAATGGAAGTGGAGATGATTGGAGAAATTCTAAAGAGTAAAACTTTAACAGGTGAAGATGCAACCAAAGAAGCGGTACTTCAGAGAATCGGGTCAGTTTCTTTGGTTCACATTGCAGCCCACGGAAGAAAGGAAACCGGAGAAATTGTTTTGGCTCCAGATCCCCGATGGGGATACAAGACTCCTAAGGAGAAGGACTATATTTTGAAAATGTCTGATATACAAGCTGTGAAGCTGAGAGCAAGGCTAGTTGTGTTAAGTTGCTGCCATAGTGGTCAAGGACCGGTCTCGTCTGAGGGTGTGGTCGGTATGGCACGTGCTTTCTTGTTTGCTGGTGCTCGTTCCGTGTTGGCATCACTCTGGGCGATTGATGACGAAGCCACAATGATATTTATGATATCTTTCTATCAACAACTTGCAAACGGAGAAAGTGCAAGTGTTGCTCTTCAGGGGGCCATGAAATGTCTTCGAGACTCCCACGACTATTCTGCTCCAAAGTACTGGGCTCCTTTTGTTCTAATGGGCGATGACGTCAAGATTGAAATGGAAAAAGAGTCATTGAGCAAGTGGTAAGTGGATATTTTCCTTTTTTTCCTTGCTGTTTTAGTAACAGAAGGCTTAAGAAGAAAAGCCAGAACCATTCTTGTCAAATTCAGATAAGAGTGAAATGACAGACTTGATAATAAAAAGAATAAAAAGAAAAAATATGTACAAAGTAAGGATGGGTTGGGTGGTAAGTGTTAAATTATTATTGATTCACTCAAGTAAATGTTATCCCTAACAGGCTACCAACACATTTCAAAAATCAATTGAACACTAGGCATTGCTTAATGTTCTCAATTGTTAAATAGTCTAGGTCATGGTGGATAAAAGATATGCATAGGAATACGTTTCCTACGTTTTTCTGCAGCACTAACACCATATGAAGAGAAATTCAGAGCTTCATGACAAACAAATATGTCTAACATCTCAATTGTTTTCATTTTGCTGTTTTTCATATTATTATCCGTGGCATCCTAAAATTTAACGCTTTGACCTTAGATGAAAGGTTATTATAATTAATGTATTAATTATTACTTTTTTTTACAAGGATGAGCTGAGAGTTTGATGTCAACACATTACTGCTGAAGTAGCGTGTCTATATCTGGATTTCCACAAAGAAAGCAGTGCGTTATTAATAGAGGAACGTTTCCAAAGGGACGTTTAGTAAGAACGCGTGTTTTCATTTTAGTCATTTTTCTCAGAAGATATTAGAGAGATTAGGAGTCACGCTTACGACAAACGGCAAACGTCTGCAGATTCGAGTTGAGAATTTCTCAAAATAGAAGATATGCAGATAAAAAGAGCTCAAAGCAATTCTTATGGATAAAACTGACTTGAAACTAACAACTTTTTTGTAGATTTAGTAGACAGTAAACGACAAGTAAAGGGAAAACTTGGTCACGTGGTACAAATCTACGTTTGCCGTTTGCCGTAAGGATGGCTTTTAACTCATTAATTCATAAAGAAAAAACAAAAGAAGTTAATAGTTAATTCGTGTCTTTATATCTGATACGATAAGACGCGGCTAAATTTTACGTCCAATTTTTTAGACTGAAATAACCCCAAATCTAAATTTTAGCGCAAGAATGAGTTGATTGATCTATAGCAGAGATTTTGAAGCCTCGAGAAGCCGTTAAAAAATCTCGCACTCGTGTAGGATTTTTTTTAGGAGGGGGTGCTCTCGTCTCTTGCTCTACTTCAACACCAATAAACCACATAGTTTTTTTTGCAGAATACCAGTTGTATTAGAATACCGTAGGTCATCTCGGGGGGGGGGGGTGCGCACCCCCTGCACCCTCCCCCTAGATCCGCCTAGCAAGTATTTCGTTACTCCCACGAAACTAATTGAATAGCAGAATAGATGATTACCCCTTTTCTTGTAAACCTGCCATAACCGGCAAATTGTAATTTGGCAAAGGAAAATTGCATTATAATTATAGTATTATTGATGATGATAATAATTACCATCATAATAATCTTATTAATTCCTTTTCAGTAATTTTCCCTCGGCTTTAAAGCGAATCACTGAAACAAATAATTCAAATTAATATAACAGGGTTAAGAATCTCAACGGGACGGAGACGAACCAATTAACTATTTACAAGCGTTAGTCTACGTGGCCGTGCTTTCAGTAGAGTGATTTTCTATATAATCAGATTTTAAAATTTTAAGTATGTACTAAAAGTATTTTGTACATTCTGAACGTGAGTTTAGCGGGTCACAAATCAGTGGTTTAAGGTCTGGGTTAGAGCGGTTTTCACTTGACTGTCGAAAGGGATTGGTTTTGGTTTTGGTTTTGGTTTTACTACGCCCTTTGGTTGGCTAGTGTATTTACTTTGGTTTTGGTTTTACGACAGTCAAGTGAAAACCGCTCTACTACGCTCTTTGGTTGGCTAGTGTATTTACTTTGGTTTTGGTTTTACGACAGTCAAGTGAAAACCGCTCTAAAAGGGTGTGTTTTGTATGACTGATCCCCGGTTACTCAGAACTGGAATTTTTTTAACAAAAAAGAAACATGTTCATGTCTTGTTGATCCTTAGTGTATAAATTGGTGGACAGTACAAAATGCAGACTGCATGCAGACAGAATGCAGACCATTTTCGGGGTTAGAAAACAATGGGACTATTATTGTTGTCACGTTTTCATTTGCATGGTGAAAAGAATGGTTTGCAGCAGTCTACAGTCTTTATTTTGTACTGACCGTATAAATTGGGACACACATCGTGTCAGTTAATTAAAACTGCTTTCAAAATCAAGGAAAGTAGGATTTCAGCGAGGAGTTTAACTTGTATGGATAAATCATTAGCGTTTCATACGAAGAGTAAATTTTTTGCCTTCCATGTTTGGGAATGAATATGCTTGTAGTTTTTACAGTAAGTTTTGAACGATACACTTAATAGCCTGCGCAGAGACAAAAGCGAGTGAGCTGCTGGCAAAATAGACCGTCTTAGACTCATTAGAAAGACTTTTGACTTATTTTAAGAACCTTTTTTTTAGGAAAAGCGTTTCCAGATATAGTCCTTTCAAGCATGCAAACGAAGGAAAAAGGCTCAGAAACTTAATTTGTATCCGAAAACAAGATTTATTTTTCTTCTCTATTTTTCCAACATCACTTTCTTGTAGAGCTGAATCCACTTCTGTCTCTGCACTTGTAGACTGTTTGTTCTGCCATTTAATTAGGGTTAACTCTTATTTTTGCTTCATAATTACTGCGAGTCAATTCAATCATATTTAGCGTTTTCGTGTATTTTGCGTTAGTGGCCCAACAGCTATAATTGATGTCAACTTTAAAGTATCCAAACATTGGATCAGATCAGATTTGGACGTTCCAATAGCTTAATGTTTTTGTTTTGTTTTTGTAATTCAGTGCATGTAAAAGTAGGGCTTTTAATCAAACAGATCAGTTCTCGTTAAAAACTTTTCGTGTACTATTGCGTTAGTGATATAAAAGCAATAATTGATGTTAACTTAAATTAAGATTAAGATTTTGGACGCTCCAATAACTTAATGATATTTTTTTGTAATTGTGCTAGGTTGTAAAAGTTGGGCTTTTAATCAAATAGATCAGTTCCAGAACACATATACAGCAACGTTTTGAGGTTTAGCGCTAGGAAATCACAGTAATCGTTCAAGCTATCATCATTTTATCGAGGATCTGACCTATTTTTGCTGTCTCTAGATTGCTTTTCTCTAGGCCATTGACTTTTAGCCATCCCTCGTTTATTTAAAGAAGCTGCATTTATATTTAATTTACGGACGTCACCATTAGGAAAAAAGATAGGAGGTTGGAGGAAGGGAAACGCCAAAAAAAAAAACAAGTAAATCAGGAAGAAAAAAATATCCCCAGCACCATGATCAATAAAGCTGTTGGAGGAGCACAAACAGATTTCCACCACATGGTTAAAGAGAAAACTTTCATAGACCTTCCAAAAATCCCACCCAACCCCTTTGCTTTCCTGATGGTCCATCCGTTATACGTCATTACGTCAGCTTGTTGAAACTAACCGCTTCTACTTGATCCCAGCACGTTGCACAATACAATGTTTAGTTTCTGGTGTACTGATTTGTAATGTTGTATTAAACCTGAAGAAAACGAGATGTTACTGTACATGTGGCTGCTGATCTCTCTGATGCCTTAACCATTCTAAAACAACTTCTCCTGGAACCTTGGGAAAGTCAATATTTGATTAACAAACCACTTTTCCCGCAGGGACGCTAAAAATTTTCGATTCCAGGACGTTTTCATGTATTTTAAGACAAGTTTCTTAATCTGCCATCAGACACTCTCCCTAGGCAACTGGGGTTTCCTTTGACATAATCAAGCAGAAAATCCTCTGACATTGTTTTGTCAAATGTCATAAGAACCAAACACTCATTTAATTCTATTTTCAAAAAGTGTCAAAGTAACCGGGCCAATGTGGCGATGATTTTGGACGACGTCACAACCGTGTCACGGGTCTCTGGGCAGCTAAATGACTCAGTAAAACAAAATGGTGTTCAAACCAATTTTGTCCTTCAGGGCTGTACCTTTGAAAAACGTAATTTCTGACGATTTAGAGACATGGGAACGAATTAGTCAGACATTGATATTCTTACGGCACGGTATAGAGGCGCACTGGTGTTCCTGGGATAGTATCGGGCTATTTATGGTTTTGGCGCAAGACTTGTGCCATTCTACGTCAGCTCAGTCCTTCTGATAGTTTTCGGTTTCTTTTGCAAGTTTTCCTTTTCCATATTTTATTTTGTTACGTCTTCAGGTCTAACGTTTGTTATTTCGGTATATAGTTTATGAATTTAGGTATTTAGACCCGCTCCCTATTCCATTAGTATAATTTTGGTGTAGTCTATGTAAATACGTTTCCACACAGTTTTTGGCCACTTCTCAAGGGTGTTTTTTTTGTGGTTTTTTGTATCTGGCGTGGTACAAGTTCTGGCTTAGAACATATATTAGTATTTTGCTAGAAGGATATCATTGTTGATACATCTGCATCAGATGACTGACTAACCCATCCTAATTAAAGGTTTTCACATTGAGAATGTCGTGTTAGTGGAATCAGAATAGCAAAGGAAACTTTTTTTACAAACTCATGAAAACTAGAATTTCATCGTTAATCCAAGCAATCTTGCCACTTTCAATTGAAGCAGCACCGACCTAGAAAGTGGTTCGTCTCATATCGGATTGGTTTCTGTGCAATTCTTCGTCGCAGTGTGAACGGGTAACCATGGCGAAGGTAAAAGAGTAGGAGGGAGGACTGGAACCCAGAAAGAATGAAGGAAGTAAATAAGCGGAAGCGAGGATTGGGATTTAAAGCGCCAAACCCTCTCGGCAAACTGCTCAGACTCGTACCCAGTCGCTATTTAATTATCCCCGCGCACCTCAACCTAACCCAATCTTCTCTACGAGTCTGCAACTGCTCCTTGTGAACCACTTGTTCCACTTCGTTTTTGTTCGTACTATACCGGTTAGCTTTTCATTTTGACATAAAAAGATATTCGGCATAATGTAAACATTTACAGATTTTCCTCTCTAG